GGATATGTTTTGCAGAGTAAAAGTTAGGGTTTATCAATAAAATATTCCTATCGATTCTTAATTATGTCTTGACCAATCTCACATGTAAAAGGTTAGATATAAACGAAGAATTTCCAAAGAAGGAAGATGATTTTTGGAAAGGGAATTGAGAAAAAAAATTGTGAATTTGGGGTTTTTTTTCGTGCAACGAGAGTGACATGGAGGAGTGTTAGTAAGTTCACGTAAGCACCTTTACATAGTGGAATATCCATGTCAGATGTTCCCTTTAAAATAATGTGCCATGTGAACAAAATTAACGAAGGAACCAAAAAGGGTTGAATTTTAAACTTTAAGGACAAAAAATGGGATTTTTTAAGTACAGGGACTAAAAAGGGTCTTTTTCAATAGTAAAGGGGCCAAAAAGAGTATTTAACCTTAAATTTTTGAAAATTTGTGTACTACGGTAATTTTAGGTCTTGAAAATAATATTATTCTTCACCTATTAAAATTATTTTGATGATGTCTTCAAACCAATTACAAAATACCATGTGTCTTAATCACAATTTAAGATACCTAAAAGGAAAGTTCTATTTTACAAGAAATAATATATAAAAAACATTCATTAAATAAAAATATTTGTTGTTCCAATTAATAAAAATATTACTTGTTAAACAAGAATAAAACTTTTGTCCTAAATCATTAAGGAAATAATGTAGAGAAGTTCTAATCATAAAAGAACTCCTTAGCACCTCCTTTGAGCTTTTTCACACACATCATAGGAAGAAAATTAGAAGATAAATTTTAAGAATTAAACTCTAAAAAATTTTGCATTAACAAGAAATAAACTAAAAATTGAAGAACATGAAGATCTAACAAGTAAAAGATCAAAGAATGTGAAGATGAATATCAAAGATTGAAGAATGCAAAGAACAAAGAGCAAGTGAAATTTGCAAGATAAAAAGCGTTGATCATTTGTTTTCCAATTAAAAATGATTTTAATCTTATTTAATGAATAAGTTGAAGACTTTATTTATTCAAGAACTAGTAAAAACCCTCATGCAAGAAGTCAAGATTAAGATATTCTATTAGAAGAGAAAAATCAAAGGATTAAATTTTCTAGAGATTATAACTCACAAACTTTTATCAAATTTATAATTTAGCATATAAATTTTTTATAAAAGAATTTTAATTATGTATAGTGAGTTTCAACTTGGGTTTCTTGGTAGTAAGGTTGAGTGAGGAGCTTTAGTTTTGTTATAGAAACCCTAGCCTTTTTTGCATCTCGAGCCTCTTTCTCTAAAAGCCTAGAAAGAATCTTGTCTTCCTTGATACCAAGCCTCACACCCAATTTTTTGCCAATATAAATGACCTTTAGGACCACTTGGTAGTCCTTTTCTTCTCTTAAAATTCATTTCCTTTGCTCAATCCACTTGTTGTAGAAACCCTAATCTCTATAGCTTTTAAGGTCTTTTAAATCGTTGTTGGCACTATAAAACTCAAAATATGCTAGCATCGGAGAAGATCTTTGAAATATTAATCATTCAAATTAGTTTAGTTTTTTATTTAATTAAAGTTAATTCTTTGAAAGTTAACTGTACGTTTGGTTAAAGTTAAATGCAATTATGAGTTAAGATCCATTTACACACAAATCTTGCATATTATACTTAACTCAAAATCTTGACCATTCATCTTTTCACTTTTAATAGTTAAGATTTGTTCACATTTTATCATATTTATTATAAATAATTATCTTTTTATCTAAAAGGTTGTGACAAATCTTAAACATTGAAAGTGGAAAGATGAATGGTTAAAACTTAGACATGAATGGTTAAAACTTATGAATGGTTAAACTTGTGTAAGTGTGGTGTGTAAAAATTGTAAATGGATCACTCCTGATAATTGATAATCCAATTATTCAAGTTAATTATATCAATTTATACACTAAGTGGGACCCATTTTAATTTTAGGATAAAATTACAATTAGATTCCTAATGTCACTTGTTATCCTTTTTTTGTCTAAATTAGCATTACATTTTTTAGTAAGTGTTTGGCGCAATTTATGAAAATGGCTTTTTTGACCAAAAAGCACCATCTGCATCAAACACATGTTTTTGGGAGAATAGCTTCAGCTATTGAGAAGTTGATTATAACTTCTTTCCTTTAAAATTGGAGAAGCATAGATTTGATGCTTTTGTGGGTGCTTTTCCACCCACTTTAATAAAAATTGCCTAAAATTTCCATTTTACCCCTCATACTTTAATAAAATTACAAGTCAACTACTATATATGGGAATCATTTTATAACATCCAGCATCAAATCGCTAATTTCTATCTACAAACTATAGTCTCCTCCATCAAGAATCCCTCTCCTCTAGACATCTTCCAATTCAACATCTAAAGCTCACTTTTTGGTGCTCCTTGTTCGAAATCAAGTAACGAAACCTCGCCTCTCTGGACATTGCATCCAATTCAGCATTAAGATTTTGATTGTGGGTGTTGACATGCCAAAATGGATGGAGTCACCATTTATCCAAATGAGGGGAAATAAATCACTAAGGTCATTGTGGAGATTGACTGGAATTGGAGGGCTAATTAAGCGTGGGAAAGGTGTTAAGCATCTCACAACTTCCATATAATATGGCTACCATATACTTTAATTTTGGGGAATTTTCAATTTTATATAAAAAATAATAATTGTCAAAAATAAAATAACGAAAAAAAACTTCAAAAAAATGTCATTATCCTTTTTCGTTTCTGTTTTTTTCCTTTTCTTTTTTCGGTTCTTTTTTTTTTTCGTTTCTGGTTTTCCTTTCAATCTAATGCATTTAAAAAAAAAATTGCAAATCCTAAAAAAATCCTTATGATATGAAAATTGAAACGAACTTTTCTAAAAAATGTTGTTTGTTATTTTAGATTACCAGAGCATAAAACAATCTCATTAGTACCCATATCGTCACCCAAAAATGAACTTCTAAATGATACCCAAATTTAGGGGAACAAAAAAAACAGTGACTAAACTTAACATGATGGTAATCGGTTTTGTTAAATCACTATGATTAAATAAGACAACAGCCATGAAACCAAGGACAAACAGAACAGGAGAAAAACAAACGAAGAAAAAAAATACGTATGCAACCAGAATACACCCAATAAAAATTTTCTCAAAAACAAATTAATATGGCAATCAAGAAACAAAAGAAATGAAAAAAAAAAAAAACAGATGCAGAAAATTGAGATTCAAGATCCACATTCTTCCATATTCTAAATAAAAACACATCTGAAATAGAGAAAAGCCAATTTATTTATTTGTTGCAAACTTCAAAATATAAGATTTCTTCCTTCCTTTGCTTCACACCCTCTCTATCGACTCTCAGATTTCTTCCCCTTCTCCCTCAATTTTTGAAAATGCCCTCTCTAAAGCCAAAGGCCCCCCTTTTTATAGACAAAAGGGAAAACTCAATCCTATTATGCTTCTAATATCCAATCCAATCCAATCCAAATCCCTAAGATAACAACTCAATCCTATTTGGAATGTGATTTTTTAGTTTTTCCCACATGTACCTGTTTTCAAGTCCAGATTCATACCTTTTAGGCATTATGACTCCCACCTTGAATTAATTTCGAACTTCTTGTAGTTGATGACTTACGGTTTGTAGGTCTTATCCAAATCCTTCAATTGGCCAAGCTTATCTTCAAAGAAATCTCCCTTGGCATCATTATTCACCCAAACTAAAGTTGATGAAAAAGAAAATTTGAGAAAAGAGGTCTGGCAAGAACAAGAGAGGCTAGGGTTCGACTAAAACCCTAGCCTTTTATTTTTATTTTTGGCCCACTAGCAAAACGACGTCGTTTTGCCATTTGCTCCTCTCAACCCTTCAAGTTTTCAGCCTTTATTAAAATAGTCCATTGACTTCTGATTTTATCATTTAGCCCCTGATAAAAATTGAGTTATGATAGTTGCCCCCTATTTACTTTTCTTTTTGCCAAAAAAGAAAAAAGAGAGTGAAGAATAAAAGAATAACCCAATTTTAAGCATTTGTAAGCGAAAATTTCATCTTCTTTCTTGAGATGTGGTCTAGGCTATGGTTTTCCAAGATGCGAACTTCATCCTTTCTTTTTTGAGATGCAATCTTCACCAAGGATGTAATTCCCCAAGACACAAACTTCGTGCTCTTTTTTCTAAGATGCCAACTTCATCTCTTCTTTTTCTTGAGATGCAATCTTCATCTAGGGTGCAATTTTTCAAGATGTAAACTTCATCTTCTTTTTTCTGAGATGCAAACTTCATCTCTTCTTCTTTTTGAGATGCAATTTTTATCTAGGATGTGATTTTATAAGATGCAACTTCGTCTTTTCTTTTCTAGGATGCAACTTCATCTCTTCTTCTTCCTAAGATGCAACTTCATCTAGGATGTGATTTTCTAAGACACAACTTCGTCTTTTCTTTTTTGAGATGCAACTTCATCTCTTCTTTTTCCTGAGATGCAACTTCACCTAGGATGTGTTTTTTAAGATGCAACTTCCTCTTTTCTTTTATGAGATTCAACTTCATCTCTTCTTCATTCTGAGATGCAACTTCATCTCTTCTTCTTCCTAAGATGCAACTTCGTCTAGGATGTGATTTTTTAAGACGTAACTTTGTCTTTTCTTTTTGGAGATGCAACTTCATCTCTTCTTCTTCCTAAGATGCAACTTTATCTAGGATGTGATTTTCTAAGATGCAACTTCGTCTTTTCTTTTTTGAGATGCAACTTCATCTCTTCTTCTTCTTGAGATGCAATGTCACGCCCCAAAACCCAATTTCGAGACGCGACAGACGCCGTGCACTCGTGAGACGGGTCCCACAAATGCACAAGGCTCGGAACTTATCACATTCACACTCTGATACCATCAAAATCTGAAGATCAAATTATAAAATCTCTCTGATATCATAAAATCTCCAAATACAAGATCATGATTTCTAGAATCTATATCAATCTCGAAATGGCTAGCTTTCTAACTCGTCACTTCCCGTGGTTTCCCCGTCCTCAGTTTCACTTCCTGAAATGGTGGACAAGGAAAAACTATGAGATAAACTCAGTAAGTAAATATGGAGTGCCCCTTATCAAACTTAAAGCATGCCAACAAGTACAATCACGAAAACAGATACAGTACGGGCACGAAATAGACGTCTCCTCTATAGGTCACGGCCAGCGTTTATAAACCTCCCACTGACGGGCACACAGGTTACTAGTGTATAATCCCACTAGCAAGATAACAGAAACGAACCGGTTCTATCAGTAACATGTCGACATGTGCTAGCGTTTATAAACCTCCCACTAGTGGGCACACGAATAACATGACCATATCGGAGACAAAACAGGAAGAAGTTAACAGAAAAATCACGATTCACAATCACTTTCAAATCATCAGGACAGTCACTTAAATTTCAAGTAGGCATGCTCAATTTCATGAAAAGCACAAAACATTTCACTTCAAATCAGTCATACTTGTGTAAAACGGGTTTAGTCCCGCCACCACTTCAAAAACAAATCAAAACATGCTTTCAAAACAGTACGGGCATTACCATAAATTTACTTACCTCACTCGCATAAAACCGAGCACTCAATCTCAATGCTAACTGACAGAACGATCAAGAACCTAATCAAGATACCCAATAATTAATTATCGCACTATCATAAATTCAAACTGAAATCATCATTAAGACTCCTTAATCACGATACTAATTCCTATCAATCTCCACATGATCGGACGTCTCCAAATTCGTTCTCATATCACAAACTAATCACTTAAATTCCCATTAATTGTTGGCCCTCGGGGTGTGAACAGTGTCGGTGAACAGTACCCGTGAACAGTACCCCGACGTGAACAGTAACTCTACTTCCACAAATTGGCCAAAACACTAGCTAATCTCACAGGATTTTCTCTCCAAAAATCACAACAATTAACTAACACTCAATCACATAAATCTCACTTGAATTAAGCAACAAAACACACTTAAATCCCTCTTAATTGCTACCGGAATTTCCCCATTTTTCCAACACAATTCGGACATACAAGGCAGCAAACTAAATGGACAATTTAAGCCTTAAAAGGCTGTCACATACCAAAATTTTCCAGCAAGAACCGGACCTAGTAGGGGGAAGAAGCCGGCAGCAGTGCAAGGGAGAAATTCACGGGAACTACCCAACATTGAAGGAAATAAGAGCAATCAAAGTTAACCTAAGCCAATTCAAGCAAGAACAAAGGAATTAGGGGCTGTTCTTACCCAAAAAAAATGCCCAGAAATCACCCACAATCAAGAGCAGCCGGCGGAAGGACAAAGCAGAGCAGGGCAGATCCGGCTTTTCCAGCAGGGGGGGAAGATTTCTAGGTTCCAAATCAGGTTCTTGGACAAGAAAGGAGGAGAAATTCCAAGCTTTCTCACCAATTTTTCAAAGTTGGTGCCGGGTTCCCCTTTTCTTTTTTGTTCGGCTACAAGGGGGTCGGGAAGAGCAGAACACACGAGCTGGAAGAAGAAAAGAAGGAAAGAAAAAGATGAAGAAAAGAAGGAAAGAAAAAGATAAAGAAAAGAAGTCATCCTTATCCAAAATCTTTCCCTCTTTAAGTCCCTCAACTTTTGAAATATTCACATTAGGCCCCAAAACAATCTTTTCTCACAATCAAGTCCTTAACTTACACTTAAATATTCCCGAAATTTTGAGATATTACATGCAACTTCATCTCTTCTTCTTCCTGAGATGCAACTTCATCTAGGATGTGATTTTCTAAGGCATAACTTCATCTTTTCTTTTTTGAGATGCAACTTCATCTCTTTTTCTTCCTGAGATGCAACTTCATCTAGGATGTGATTTTCTAAGATGCAACTTCATCTTTTCTTTCTGAGATGCAACTTCATCTCTTCTCCTTCCTAAGATGTAAAACTTCATCTAGGATGTGATTTTCCAAGACATAAACTTTGTCTTCTCTTTTTTGAGATGCAAACTTAATCTCTTCTTCTTCTCGAGATGCAATCTTCATCTAGGATGCAAATTTCATCTTTTGTTTTCTTTTTCTCTTTTTTTTTTTTTTTTATGAGATGCAAACTTCATCTCTTCTTCTTCCTAAGATGCCTTCTTCATCAAGGATGTAATTTTCCAAGACGGAAACTTCGTTTTCTCTTTTCTAAGATGCAAACTTCATCTCTTTTTCTTCTGGAGATGCAACTTCATCTAGGATGTAATTTTTTTTTTTTTTTTTTTTTTTGAGATTCAATCTTCATCTAGGATGTAATTTTCTAAGATGCAAACTTCGTCTTCTCTTCTCTAATATGCAATTTTCATCTCTTCTTCTTCCTGAGATGCAACTTCATCTAAAATGTGATTTTCTAAGACACAACTTCATCTTTTCTTTTCTGAGATGCAACTTCATCTCTTTTTCTTCTTGAGATGCAACTTCATCTAGGATATAGTTTTCCAAGACACCAACTTTGTCTTTTCTTTTTGAGATGAAACTTCCCCTCTTCTTCTAAATGCAACTTTATCTAGGATGTAATTTTCCCAAGATGCCAACTTCATCTTTTTTTTATTTTTTTTGAGATGTAAACTTCATCTCTTCTTCTTTGACAATGATCTTGAATCAGATTAGTATTTCTTCAAACCTCAATAATTTGTGCCTCTTGCCCATGTTCAATTCCATCTTGAACTTTCATCCATATCACTACTTTAAAACTTTCATCAATATCACTACTTTAAACCTCAAAGGCTCAAGAGATTAGCAAGTGTCTTTTAGTGTCATCTTGAACCGTCATTAATCTTTTCCAACTCTGATGATGCTTTAAATTGCGTGAACATGTTTGATTCACCCATACTATAATCAAGAATTCAATGCATCTACTTGTCATTTTTTCAAATGTCAAATCTTACATGCAAAAATGATGATTTTTGAACCTTTCAAAGATGCTAAAATTAGTGTCAAATTTTGTGATGTTTAAAACAATCATGGGTAAGATTAACTAAAAATCTTGTGAAGCACAATGGATTATATGAACAAACAATGTGATTTAACTTCCATGAATAACAACGGTCAATTTGGCCTAGAATACAATTAAGATGCCCTTTTCATACAAATATCTCTCTCTCTCTCTCTCTCTCTCTCTCTCTCTCTCTCTCTCTCTCTCTCTTTTCTTTTCTTTTTCAAAAGCAACTCCCAAAACACAAATTTCTTTTTCTCACTCTTCGGTTTTGAATCTTTCTTTTTTTCCTTTCTTTTTGTTCAAAGAGAAATTGATCCCATGAGCAAATTCCTCAATAATAGCTTTGTAAGGATTCAAATGATAATAATAGTGAAAGTGCTAATGAGAATTACTTCCAGAATTAGGAACCAAGTGACAATAGAATTTTGAGTTTCAAAAATTGAGATTTTGGCTAGAGCAATGAAATTTTCCTTTCAATGAAATCTCAACTTGTTTGCCACGTTTACTTCTATTCATCTTCTTTCCTTCTTTTCTTCTCTCTTTTTTTCTTTTTAGAGAAATATACACTCAAATTCAATAGCTTTTAAATTCTCTGATAAGGGCTTTGAATAAGCTTGTATCATGGTCTAGGGCTTGGGAAAGGATGTATAAGCTCAACAAAATCCCTTATGTCCCCTAATTTCACTTATTCACACCCCAGGCACTTGATGCAGGTACATTCAAAGAAATAATCATCTTGACTTTTCGATTATGATGATTGCCTTTTCTTTTGGTTCAAAGTGGGTAACTAAGGTCAACTTTAGTGTTTGGGAAATAGAAACAAGGCCTTTTGTTATTAAACCTAAAAGCTCTTTAATATGAGTATGGTTTGTTATCCCTAGTTTCGTGATTGCCATCATCAAAATGTCTACAAACATCCAACCCTCAAAAGGACTTTTGTGGATTGTTATAGGGCTTAGGTATGGCTACTAAAAGAATTGTCAATGTAGGCTTGAAGTACTCAACTTGTCCCTAGTTGTATGCAATGTCTTAGAGATTTCTTCTTCAATTTGTTTGAAAACTTTCTTCTCCTTTATTAGCTTCTTTACCCACAATTCCTTCTTTTTCTCTCTTTTCTTTTCTTTCTTTTCCTTTTTTTTTTTTTTAGCTTCCACTTTCTTTGAGTTTTTTTTTCTTCCTTTCAAAATAGTTTTACCAAATCCTCCAATGAAAATGACATTTGCCCCTAATTTGGCATGCAACAATATTCCCAAGTTGTTGAATTGGTTATGAAAGAATGTTCATTAAGCTCAAAGTGTTTAACTAAGGATAATCTTTCAAGGTTTAGGGAATGAAAATTCATAAAAAACTTTTTTATCCTTAGATCTTCTACCATAGGCATCAAAATGATAATAACCACCTAATAAAGTTAGCAAAACTCCACCATTTTCCTCTTTTTTTTCTTTTTTTTTCTTTTTTTTTGGTTTTTTGGTTTTGTGCAATTTGTGGCAATTCTTAGAGATGAATCCTTGGCAAAGGTTTTCAAAAGGTTTCAAATGGTAAGGATAAATATTCTCAAGCTTTCTATCATAGGAATGTTTGTTTCAAATTTTGAGATCAATTTCTCTTTGTACAATTCTCTTATTCCTACTCATTCATTATTTCTCCCTCAATCACCTCCCTCATTTCTCAAACTTTCCTTTTTCCTCAAGCCTCAATTTTCTCTATGAGGTTCAAAATTGAATTCAAGTTCATTAACAATGTAACTCATGGAAGTATAAATTCAAGAACTGAATAACTATGAATTAAAACATGAAGAGCACAAATTCAAATTACAATATGAAAGGAGTTTGGAAAACGCAAATAAAAACTAACATGATAGACACAACCTATTCCAAAATGATAGCAATAGGGAAAAACTCCATTGTTCACTTATTTAAGCCTTCATCAGTAGCAATTCTAAGATCAACCTTGTCTGAGTGAAACTGTAAGCATTTTGAATCCTTCAAGTCTTGAATTTTATGCTTCAAAGTTAGACACCTTTCTATAGCATGACCAATGGTCTCGTTATGGTAATCACATCTAACTTGTGGATCATACCAGAATGGAAAAGGATTAGGAGGCTTGTTTGCAAAGATTGGAGTCAATTCCCCAAGTGCTACCATTTGATTGAATATTTCTGAATATGATAATGGTAGGGGATCAAAATGTCAATACTTCCTTCCCTGATTTTGAACTGCTTCTCCAAGTTGATATGCAATAGAATTCACCATTTGTACTTCATTCTTTTTTTTGTTCTTCTCACTTTGGTTGACTCTCTTCGTGTGAGTCAAATTATCCAACTCCAACAATTTACCATTTTGATGTTGCTCAAAAATATCCTATTAACTCGATGTACTCCAAGAAGAGGGGTGAATTGGAGTTGAAAAATTTTTACCTCTTTGCAACCACCAAACAAAAATCAAAGAGAGAGTAGGGAAGAAGAGCTTGCACAATGATTTTATAGAGGTTCGGTCCAACCACTTGGAACCTAGTCCCCTACCTTGGCTTCACTTACCAAGGATTTCCTCCACACTCTCCATTAATAAAATCAAGGGTGGCTTAAGGGAGCCACTCAATCCTTTTACAAAAAGAAGGATGTTTCTCTCAATCTCACCCCTTTACAAGATAAACCCAAACAATCCTCTCTACAAATCACTTTTGAAGAAATAATCACACACCCAAGATCACTCACAAATAGAACAAGAAGAGGATTACATGTAAAGATCTCTCAAAGATCAAAAACTCAAGTTAAAGCATAAGTTGGTAGATAAAGATATTCAATGCAATGCTCTAAAACTTGTTCCAGATCTGTTACCAACCATATTTATAGCCCCTTGCTTGAAAATAGTCATTTTTAGCCATTGTGGGTCATTAAATGCTCTGTAGGATGCATAATTCGAGTTGCAGAATTGTCAGCACAGCTGGCTTACACTTTTAGAGGTGGTTCTACAGCTTGCTTAAAAAAATCTACAGTTGGCTTTTCGGGTTTCCTACACATTTTGTTTTCTTGGACAGCCGGCTGCAAAGTCTAAAACCGGCTTTGAGATTCCAACTTTAAAAACATTAAATAATCTTCAAATAACTCGACTGTTGTGCATTAAATTCACCTTCATAGCCGGCCGCAAAGTCAAAGCCGGCTTAGCATCCATTTTCCGCGCGCACCAAACAATGGACTTCAAATTTTCACCTGTAGAGCTGGCTCTTAAAAGCTGCAGCTAGCTCTTTGCATTTTTTCCTTTTAGAGCCAGCTGCAGATTTTTTTAAGCCGACTCTTTGCACAATGTCTAGCCTCTTTGGTTCTTTTTAGTGCAATCCAAGTTTACTTACTTTGTAATCTTTTGACAATTTAACTACACACTTAAATGAACCAATTAGTCACTTAAATGAACCAATTAGTCACTTAAATGTGTTTTGTAATCATCAAGATCATAGGTACAACATATCCTTTATAGCTTGGTAATCTAGGATAACACTAGATTTGATTCCATCCTCAACTT